GGAATGAAGAAAGAACAACAGAAATGGTATAATAGACTAGTCTGCTTTTGAGCTTTTTAAAATATTGAAAGCAAAAATTACAACATTGTCAGGGATTTTCAATATATATATGTGTATATGTATATGGCTAAGTCATTATATTAAGTGTAAATGGTCTAAATATACCAATTAAAAGAGAGATTGTCAGGATAGATTTAAAAACTATGACTAATCTGTATCTATTTACAAGAAACTCACTTCAAATGTAATGATGTAGATAGGTTAAAGTAAAAGAATAGAAAAAATGCTTATATTAGAGAAGAAAGATCTCAAATCAGTAATCTAAGCTTTTACCTTAAACTGGTAAAAGAAGAGCAATATACAACCAAGTAAGCAGAAGAAGAGAAATAAAGGTAAAAGCAGAAATCAATGACTTCCACTAACTGAAGAAAAAAATAGAGAAAATCAGTAAAACCAAAAGCTGGTTCTTTGATCAACAGAATTGATAAATCTCTAGTAAGACTGACAAAGAAAAAAGAAGATATAAATCACCAATATCAGGAAAAAAGAGATGGAAAATCACTACAGATGCTGCAGATGTCAAAAGGATAAGGGAATACAGATGAACAACTCCATGCAACTTAGGTGAAATACCAAGTTCTTGAGAAGCACAAGCTATCAAAATTTAGCCAAGTGAAGTAGTTAACCACAGTAGTTCTATAATTATTAAATAAATTGAATTTATAGTTAAAACTTTTCAATAAAGAAATCTCCAGGCACAGATGATTTTTACTTAGTAAATTCTCCCAAACATTTACAGAAGAATTAACACTACATCTACACAATTTCTTTCAGAACACGGAAAAGTTAAAAACTCTTCCAGTTCATTTTATGAGACCATCATTACCCTAATAAACCAGATAAACATTACAAAATAAGAAAACTACATTTCCGTCTCCTTTGTGAACATAGATGTAAACATGTTCAAAAAATATTAGCAAATGAAATCTAGTAACATATAAAATAATACATCATGACCAAGTGGAGTTTACCCCAGGAATGCAAAGCTGGATTAAAATTCACAAATCAGTGAATATCATTTACCATATTAACAGTCTAAGAAAGATCATGTCAATTGATGCAGAAATACATTAGATAAATTTCAACATGTATTAATAACTCTCAAGAATCAAGGAATAGAAGAGACTTACTCAATCTGATAAAGGGCAACTATTAAAACCCTGCTATTAATGTTATTCCTAATGGCGAAATGACCAAATGCTTTCTTTCAAAGATTAGAAAAAAGACAAAGATGTCTGCTTTCATCACTATTACTCAGTGTTATATTGCCAGTACAATAAAACAAGAAAAAGAAAGGCATATAGAGATTGGAGACAGAGAAATTAAATAGTGTGGGGTTTTTGTTCTCTTAACTGTGTCTTTTATAGTGCAAACTTTTCTAATTTATATGAAGTCTAATCTGTCATGGTTTGTTTGTTTGTTTGTTTGTTTGTTTGTTTGTTTAATAGACCTGCTTTGGGTGCCATGTCTTAAGAACTCTTTGCTAGGCCCTAAGTCACAAAGATTTTCTCTTACACTTTTTTTTTTTCTCTCTTACACTTTTTGCTAGAAGCTTATAGTTTACATTTTGAGTTAATTCTTGTATAAGGTGTGAGGTTTAATGTCAAGATTTATTTTTTCACATGTGATGTCCAATTGCTCCAACATTTGTTGAAAACACTATGCTTTCTCAATTGAGTTGTTTTCCACCCTGGTCAAAAATCAATTAGCCATATTTATGTGGATATGTTTCTTGATTCTTTATTCTGTCTCATTATTCAGTATGTCTGTTCCTTTATCAGTATCACATTATTTTGATTACTGTAGCCCTCTATAAGTACTTCCTAAAATCACGTGGTGTAAATTCTTTAAATTTTGTTCCTTTTTTTTGTTTTTCAAAATTGATTTAGCTTTTCTAGTTCCTTTGCCTTTCCATATAAATTTTACTTTATTCATTCATTCATTCATTAAGATTTATTTATTTATTTATTAGAAAGAGTGAGAGTAAGAGAGAGCACAAGCAGGGTGGAGGGGTACAGGGAGAGGGAGAAGCAGGCTCCCCACTGAGCAGGGAACAGGGAGCCCGATGCAGGGCTTGATCCCAAGAGCCCAGGTTGTGCTTTCTCTTTCCCTCTCTCTCTGACAAATAAATAAATAAAATCTTTTTTTTTTAAGTTATTATTTATTTGTCAGAGAGAATACAAGCAGGGGGAGCAGCAGGCAGAGAGACTGCTGAGCAAGGAGTCCGACGCAGGACTCGATCCCAGGACCCTGGGATCATGACCTGAGCCGAAGGCAGACACTTAACCAACTGAGCCACCTGGGCATCCCTAAATAAATAAAATCTTAAAACAAACAAACAAACAAAGAAAAAACAGTTGCTTAACCAACTGAGCCACACAAGTGCCCCTCCATATATATTTTAGAATCAACTTATCCATATCTGTAAAAAAAAAAAAAAAAAAGTACTGGAATTGTGTTAAATCTATAAAAATTTTGAGAGAATTGAAATGTTTACAATGTTGAGTCTTGCAGTCCATGAACACAGCATGTCTTTCCACTTGTCTGTGTTTTATTTCTTTCATCTGCATTTTGTGATTTATTGCATGCAAATATCCATAGGCTTTAGGTTTATACCTAAATTTCCAATTGTACCTTAATGGTATTTAGAAATGATTATTGTGTACGTTCACCTTGCATCTTGCAACCTTGCTAAATTCATTTATTAGTCCTAGGAGGATTTTTGTTTTTGTTTTTGTTTTTTTGTAGCTGACTTGAGGTTTTCTGTGTAGATAATCATGTCACTTTCAATCCTGTTTCTGCCCGCAAGCCTCTAACTCAGTGCCTGACTGTTTTCACTGAACTCGGCTTACATATCATCTTTCCCCACTTGTGTATGCCAAATCTGCCTTAATGCCCAGAATGTTCTTCTGTTCTGGTTAAAAATGCCTGGTTTTTCTGTATTGTGCTGGCCAAGATACATTGTTTTTAAGTAAGTTTGTTGTAACATAGGGCAAACCAAAACTATGTTAAGTTTTAATTTTTGTTATAGTTTTGCAAAATTTTAAAACATTGTATGTGAGATTTCAGAAAACCGAAGTGTAATTTGCAGAATGGGAGAGAGTGTTTTACTACAAAGGTATGGAAATTTGATGACAGAGGTCAATTTAAAAACTTTTTATGTGTTGTAACTATCTTGCAGATGCCATTTTTCTCTAGGGAAGCATTTTAAAATATAGCTTGTTGTTTGATTTGTGCTGCACCGTAGATTAACTAAAATCGTATTTTGTCATCTAGAAGTTCCAGAGTGTGACAGCATCAGATTCTAACACTATATATTTTATTTAAAAGGCCAGCATCAACAAAAGATAGTTTCTAACTCCTGAAAACAGTTTTCCAGCAGTTTATATATAAATGAATCCACAATTTAAAAGAGGAGTTTCTGGGGGCGCCTGGGTTGCTCAGATGGTTTAGCGTCTGCCTTCGGCTCAGGTCGTGATCCCAGGGTTCTGTGATTGAGTCCCACATCTGGATCTTTGCTCGGCAGGAAGCCTGCTTCTCCCTCTCCCACTCTCCCTGCTTGTGTTCCCTCTCACGCTGTCTCTCTCTGTGTCAAATAAATAAATAAAATCTTTAAAAAAAAAAAAAAAAGGAATTTCTGCCTGATAATTTGTGAAGCAAATGAAGAATTGTTCTTTTTTCTTTTTTCTTTTTTTAAGTTGTGTTTTCTTCTTTAATAAAGACTTAGTTACCTATGGCTTATTTTTGGTCTTTCCTCTAATATTATAAAATAATCTGAAGTGATCTTTACTTTTTATTTCCTTGAGACTGCCTATTTCACCACAAACTGTTTCCTGTTTTCATCCTGCTCTTGTATTAATATGTTCAAAATTTGGTCAGTGCTTTTTAAAAGAATATTCTGTGTGTGTGTGTGTATGTGTGTGTAGTCCCTCAACAGGTTACTTTCAGTTGGCTATCTTGGAGCCTGATCTTGTTTGAATATTTGTCTAGCAACCAGTGCCAGGTTCGTTCTTTCTTTCCCTCCATAGTAATAAGATTTTGATGCTGAGGCTAGGATTTCCAGTACGATATTAAATAACAATGGTCAGAGTGGACATCCCTGTCTTGTTCCTGACTCTGGAGGAAAAGCTCTCAGTTTTTCCCCATTGAGGATGATATTAGCTGTGGGTCTTTCGTATATGGCCTTTATGATATTGAGGTATGTTCCCTCTATCCCTGCTTTGCTGAGTACTTTCAATTTTTGGCAAGAAGATAAATATAGAGTAAATCCATGTGACATATAGAGAGGGTTTGTAACAAGAACACTTGGCTCTGAGTTCTGTTTCTACCACTTATTATTTATGTGACCTTTATGAAGTTTTCCTAAGCTCTTAGAGCATGTCTTCCTTAGTTAAAAAAAAAAAAGAAAGATGAGTACATGTATAATTTTCATATCCTGTTATAGTAATTAATATAAACTTTTCAGTGTTGTGAGAGTTAAATGAGTTAATTTTTAAGGAGGCAGTTTGTAAATCATACAGCACAGAACTGTTTCCTGTGACACACAATAACTCTTTATTTTCGAGTAGTTTTCTTTTAATCTGAAAAGGTTGACTATAGTTTGGCCAATTTCTGTCCAGTTTACTGTTCAATTTATTCTTCAGGCATTTCTTACCTGTGATTAAAGTAAGAAGAGATTCTTTTCTTGTTTTTCTTCTATTCTATACTTCTTCCTTACCTAAATTCTGCCTCTTCTGTTTATAGATTGGGACTAAAGAGTTTGTTGGGGTAAAGGCATCAGGAAATGATGTGCTCTTGGCTATTAGGGGAATTTATATTTATTTCTTACTTTAACTTATTTGGTGAAGAACACAGAAGTAGGCTTAGTGATCAATTTCTTCCTCCCTCTGAGCATGACTCTGTGTAAATATTCATTTTTTTTTTTTTATTCCATCTTCTAGTTACAACAGTTGGAGCTTGCGCAGATACAGCATAGAGATGCTAACCTCACAGCTCTTGCGGCTATTGGACCAAGAAAGAAGAGACCACTAGAATCTGGGTCTGGAAGTGAGGTATTGAAGTAATGTTTGTTATTTTATTTTTCATGTCAAGAAAGCAAGCCAAAAAGAAGCAAAGACGTGTAGATAGTTTACCCTACCTAGCATGCTGGTGCTGCCAAATGCTTGTTAAAACTCTCCTTTGCCTGTTTTACAGAATCTTAATTTTTCCTGGTTTTTAGGATATATATCACCTTGAACTTTACTCCTGCTGATTATTTATTTTATACTTCCTCCAACCCCTCATTTCTAGTCCTACTGAGCCTCACTATCTCAATTTTTTTATTTCTGTACATTCTTTTCAGTGGTCTTATGTAATCCTCTTCCTGCTGTGTATCTAAATCTAGCTCATCTCTTAAGATAAATCTGCCCTCTCTATTTCTTGCATGAACCACTATTCATTTCCTCATTGACTTCTTGTCTCAGTACATAGTGTGTTTGCATGGCAAATTAGTCTGTGTTCCACATAGGATGCATATTTTTTCTAAGATTTTAAACTTTTTGAGCAAGACTATAATCCTATTCATTTGTATTTCCCCCCAGAACCAGGCACTTATATACTCATTAAAAATTGTTAATTGTTTGACTAGCACCAAGGAAAGCTCTAACTTACATCTTTAGAGCAAATATTTGTTGTAATGGTACATTAACAGATTGATCATTGGGGTGAGATAGAGGTACGGTAAGAGCCCCTAGGTAGGGTCAGCAATAAGAGTCGCGGCTCATCTGTTTTGCTCTGTAAAATTTAAATGTGCTTGAGACAAGCTCCTCCCTGGCATTGACCCTGAACACTGACAGTTCCTAAATGAATGACAATCATCTCAGTAGAAGGATTTAAAAAATTAGTTGTTTTTCCTTATAAATGTAGTGAATGCAACGTGTTCACATGCCCCCCAAAAAATCACAGTATAAAAAAATGTTTGAAAAATAAATGTTTCCTTCTCACAGATTTCTAGTCCCCCATCTCCTTCCCAACCAGACGTAGCCATTATTAAGATTTTGAAATAGCTTCCCAGAAATGTTATGAATATGGACATGTATCTCATGGGTGTTCACAAATCCACATGTTTGATTTTGTTTTTACTTAAATGTGTTCAAACTAGAGTTATTGTTCTGCCCTTGATGTTTTTCTTTTTTCCAGGATCTTTTTCCATAATCTTTTTTCCATAATCTCCCTCATATAATTGACCTCCATACATTTTAAAGATATAGGATATTACTATGTTTAGATAAATGTAATTTATCAACCTGTCCTTTAGTGGAAATTTAGGCTTTTTTACAGAATGTTCTTGTACTGACATTGTTATGTTTGTACAATGTAACTATAGGCTAAATTCCTAAAAATGGAATTCCTAGTTTAAAGGCTGTGCATAGTAGGAATAACTTTTTGGAAAAATTCAAACATACAATGATAGAATAGTATAATAAATCCCCATATACCCACCCCCTGTTACACCTACTATAAATTTATTCCCAGTCTTTATTTATATCTATACCAACTTTTCTCAGCTAAGTTTTTTATCTCCCAGGTTATTTTTTTTTAAGATTTTATTTATTTATTTATTTGAGAGAGCAAGCGAGAGAGAGCACAAGCAGGGTGAAGGGCAGAGAGAGAAGCAGACACCCTGCTGAGCAGGGAGCCCGATGTGGAACTCGATCCTGGGACTCCAGGATCATGACCTGAGCCGAAGGCAGACACTTAACTGACTGAGCCACCCACATGCCCCTCTCAGGTTGTTTTAAAGTCAGTTCTAGACTCGGCATCATTTTATCATAAATATTATTTGTTGCTTTTGGTTTTTGTTAAATATTTTAAAATGACCGTCTGAATAAGTTGTATCAGTTTTTACACCCATTAGTGTCTACTTTCCCACACTGTGATTAACACTGGGGATTATCTTTGCCCTTAGATGGTTGAAAATGCAATTTTTAGGGGTGCCTGGGTGGCTCAGTCGTTAAGCGTCTGCCTTCGGCTCAGGTCATGCTCCCAGGGTCCTGGGATCGAGCCCCGCATCGGGCTCCATGCTCCGCAGGAAGCCTGCTTCTCCCTCTATCACTCCCACTGCTTGTGTTTCCTTTCTCACTGTGTCTCTCTCTAGCACATAAATAAATTCTTAAAAAAAAAAAAAAAAGAAAATGCAATTTTTTAGTAGAATATTTAAATTACAGGTAAAATTGAGCAGTCTTTTCTATGTATATTGGCACTTTCAATTTACTTTTTTCCACTGAGTTATATTTTTCAATTGATTAAGA